TAAAAAATCAGGCCTGTACGGGATTCGAACCACTGACCTCTGCGATACTAGTGCAGCGCTCTACCAATTGAGCTAACAAGCCAACTGGGAACAGGCCGTTAAGTCGATTCGTAATAAACCCGTGAAAGTCAAAATATATGAACTTCATATATTTCATTGTATCTAATTTATCACTTTCACGGGTTTATTACGAATCAACTTAACGGCCTGCTCTCAGTTGGCTTGTTAGCTCAATTGTTAGAGCACTGCACTAGTATCGCAGAGATCAGTGGTTCGAATCCCGTACAGGCCTGATTTTTTTCAAGTCTGATTTTCGCAATTGCATAAATAGCGCTATCTACTGCGAGGATCGTGCATCATACGTAATTTTTCGTTCATTATCTTCTTTCATCTTGCAAGGTTCAGTATTGATAATGAATGGATTTATATATATGGATTTTTTGAAGCATGGTACATTACTCTCTTGTAGATAGATGATTGTAACCCATAGGTACTTAGATAAACTTCATTTTCTCATTCATTTTAGGTACAAGTTCCTTGCCATTTTTCCGCTTTTTTACAACTGGGAATGTCCATTTTTTAAATTATACATTCTTAAAAGTTTCGACTGAAACTTTAGGACATTTTGTTGTAGTTTTATATTATTTGAGGTTATGATAAATTTTCGGCATCATGATATATGAAATAAAAAATCTATGCATTGTACCGTCCATGTCATGATTTCTTAAATGTTTATAATGTGTTACTCTCTGATTCACAGGTTATGTAAGTGGAGAAATTGATTGCAAATACAAGATCCTCTTTTGGATAATTATAATTTTGAACCTCTTCATAAGTGACGCAAGTTTTCTGGTAAGTAAGAAGATTTTAACGAGCATTCCCCTTTTTGTGACTGGCCGAAAGAAAACCTTGAATTTAAGAGAGTCATAGAGGGTCCTCTGTACAGCTTTTACCTGTGAATGCGAATTACACAATTTTAAATTATTGGCGCCCTCCTCTTTCAATTCGTGATCATTAATTGACCTTGCCCCCTCCCCTTCAATTGGGAGGGGAACGTAAATTTGGAGTAGCCTGTTTGTATTGTTGTGAGTGTTGTTTGAATTAATCGCCTCCAAATGATAGACAAGGGGAGAACGTGTCTGCCTTAACTTGATTGGTTACAAAATTATAAGAGTCGTGCAGACAGTTTCCTGCTTTTTAACTTCCACTGGATATTTACATGAATTACCTAGTCATGACTGTCACATTCACTCTCGTGAAGGTGTAGTCTGATCGTCCGGGTGAGTGTAGTCCTGAGAAGGACTGTTGTCGGTGGTATTGACTAACGTTTCGACAACCTGACCGAAAAAGAACGACCTAACTTTGCCGACAGATCGAAACAGACCAATCACGACCGACTTACGTCACTTGAGTCTTACAGCCAATAACATCACGGCAAAACCAACCGATCATTTCAGACGAACTGGAATAAGAACATTCTACTGACAACAATCAATCACGTGACTCTGATGATGACTTCCGCACAGGTTGTCGAAACGTCAGTCACTACAACCGACAACAGTCCTTCTCAGGACTACACTCACCTGGACGATCAGACTACACCTTCACATGTTACCCCCGGGTTCAAGCCATTTACTGCATTACATTCACTCTCCTTGTCAACTCAACCTATGAAAAGATGATAACCTCCTTGTTTGTTAAATGGAGACAGGAAAGCCCACCCTCTTACAATTAAAAAGCCCCTTTAATTAACTAATAACTGGTCCCCAAATTCAGCTCTATGAAGCAAGACTCAGGAACAAGACAGCTTTTCCACAGTTATGGCCAAGTGATAGTTACTGCAGTCGTACACTCTGCAGTATCCTAGTTCACTCCTCTGACATCTGCCAATATGGTTCTCATGAGGGCAGATCTCTTTGCATGCATTCGGTCTGTCATACTCGCCTTCACACTTTCCACTGAAACCAATCAGCTAGGCCTTACTTGCGTTATTGTTTAAGGTATTTTTCCTGACCTCACTCTTCTTACCGACTGTTGTCTAACTTTTTTGAGTCTTTGAATTTACCAGGACTGCTACAGCAAGAGCATGTTCCAAAGCAAGAAGAGAAAGTTAGTGGTGAGTAGAGTTCAAGGATTTAATTTAAGTAGATGCTTAAAGACTTGACCAACTTGTAAAATTTAGCCTAAATGTTCAGTTTCAGCTACGTAATTTTATTTCAACTTCATTGCCCTTAATAGTCCTTTTTCTTTTTGAACTATTTTTGCCCTTTTGGTGATTGCTCTTCAGCAAGAAATTATCGAGACGCACTGATGGACACTTCAGACAGTTAACAGTTAAATTAATATAAAAAGAGAAATGAGAAAAAGGCCAAAAAAAAAAAAAACAAACAAACAATTAGATGAGATGTCTACATGTGGCTTCATTTGCACTTAGTGAACAACTATTTACCGAGTTGCAGATAAATATCCAATATTTGTACGCACACTGAGGCGGACAATTGTTATTATTGTTTAAACCAGACAGAAACCCATACTTCCGTCAACATCAATATATAATTATCTATATTTTTCTTTACATATCCATGCATAGAGCTCTTAAGGAAAAATGAAACAACCTATGTACAGCATGTTCAACCATTTCTATATATTCTTTGATGTGAACTTCTGCTCCTTTGTTGAGGCAGTGAATGTTGAATGTAAACAGTTTGACAGTCCAATAAGCCTCCCCAATCGATCAGTATGATATATTGATAAAGTACATGTATTAATTATCATTTTGAAAACTTCTTGTAGGTTTCCATTCATTTCTCACGTAATGCTGTTACTAAGTGAGATCTTTATTGATTTTAAGTTTTAAATTTTTAGCTTGTATGTTTCACCGGGAGTAGACCGAAGGCCAAAACGTCATTTATACATATTTTCATTTTATTTACATAATAAGGTAACCTTTGCAAAAGAACAAAAACGATATTTTCCTATTACGTGAAATATACATGCATCATACATCACCTATTTTATAAGAAAAGGAAACGTACTTATATTTGATTTGAGTCTAATTTGTAAGTGCTTTTTACACAGGGATGGGACATTGTCAGGAGACATGGGATGATCTTAATTACATGGCAGAGGCTGCTTACATTTTAGTGATAAATAGCTTCATCTTCTCTAAAAGGTCGAACGTTGAACGTCCAGCGAAAGACGTCAACAATCTCCGTAGTTTCTCTGATGATTTCGACTTCTTGTAAATCATAAATCATTTAAATAATATCCCGGTTATTCGTCTCTCCCTCTTAGGAAAGGAACTTATACCGGTGCACGTCGTTAAAGACCTAGGCGTGACTTTTGACTCGAGCCTTACTTTTCACGAGCATATTGTTAAAACAGTTTCCTCCTGCTTCTCAAGTTTAGCTCAAATTAGTCGTGTTTGACAGGTCGACCTTATTGATAATAATTAACACTTTACTGTTTGGTAAGTTATTTTATTGTTCCTCCGTCTGGTCCAATGCAGCGGACACTAACCTTCTCAAGCTACAAGCGGTCCAGAATTTTGCAGCCCGGATTATCTGTGGTCTCAGAAAATTTGACCACGTGACTCCGCTTCTGAGAGAACTGCACTGGCTACCTATTAAATCTCAGCTATATCTCCGTGACGCCGTACTTGCTTTTAAATGTTTGACCGGCTCCGCTCCCACTTATCTCTCCTTGAAGTTTCTAACACGTGGTGAGATAAGTGGTCGTACGACCAGAAGCTCCCAACTTCTGCATATACCCCTATATAGAACTAAATCTGGACAAAGGACTTTCTTTTATCGTACAGTAAGTCTATGGAACAGTTTAGATAACACCCTCAAACTCTGTAATTATTCTCGTGATTTTAAGCGTAAACTTAGAGCCAAATTACTTGCTGCTTTCCTTTCTCGTCGCTCTTAGTCGTAACTTTGGCGAACATTTAGTAACATTTTAGCTTCCTTAGTTTTTCTATTATACATTTTAGTATTGTAATTTTGTAATTTTTAGCTCATTGTCACCGAAAAACCCTCTTTAGGGAGTGTCAATAAAGTTTGTATTGTAGAGTATCATAGCCATCAAAGAAGCCAATTTTTTTTCTCCGCACGAGATGAAGTAATGGAATAGTTGTAAATCCTAATTGTAGAGGGTTTATAAAAAACGTTTCAATAATGTATTGTACAGCGTTAAAAAAAAAGTGAAGATCCATCATACACAGTTATATCATGTTTTGTGAAGATAAATCAATGCTGTTCTTCACTAAATACGAATTAGCCTGACTTCAACACTTGGCGCAAATAAATTGTTTAAAAAATATGTACTACAATTTTCTCCTACACGTTTTTAGGCATGTAGTCTTTTTCATTGCCCTTTAAAAGGATAATTTTTCTTTTATCATGTTTTCTTGGCCTGAAGAAATGCACTGTTTATGGGAAAATTTAGTGATTTTTCCGTGTGGCTTTTTAAGCATATTTATTCGTTGTTTTCGTTATTGTAGCGTTCTCAATTCATGCGTTTCTTTTGTTTTAATGATTAAAAAAATATATGTAGGAAATTCATTGTAGTTTTTGGGAATAAATTTTGCATTGTTACTTGAGTGTCTTACTTTGCCTTCATTGTGCAGCTGCCTATCGGTACTTTTCTTGTTCAATTCTAGTGAAATTTTAGGTAAATAAAAGTGTTAATGGTCTTTCCGGAAGAATTTAAAGATTAAACGAGACTTACCGTAAGTTAAAGTTTGATGAGCCGATTCATAGTCGGGAACAGAGGGCGCGAGCAAGCCAGATCAGTATTCAACAATGAATGAGCACAGGTAAAGAATAGGCTGGGGACAAGTAAAATATATTTAAATTTGTCCTGTATGAAAATACATATGTGGGTGGGCACGTGACTCCTGTTCCTGACTATGAATCAGTAGAATTCACATCAAACTTCAACTTACAGGTAATTCTCGTTTAAGCTTTAAATTCTACCTTATCATAGTCTACGTCACGAAGGAAACACGTGAGATTTCAAAGCCCTGTAGTCACGAACAAAGACAACAAAAATAAGTTTGGCAGACTGTATTTGCCTTTAACAAAACTGAGCCAAAATTACATGGGGTATTGATTGGTTTCTGGTAAAACTTAGCGAATGTTCCGCAGTTAGATCATCCTGCAGATTCTAGAATAACTTCTAATGGGGTTCTTGCCTTGGCAGTAGCACTGGTGGATGCTGCCCTAGTGCTGTGGGCCCCAAGTTTTGTGGTACCTATGCCCGCATTTCAAGACATTTTTGATCCAACGTGCAATTGTGTCCTTGCTAACAGATTTAAATGGTTTCTGAAAACTCAACAGTAACTGATTTCTATCAGTGTCACCCCTATGAGCACTAGTCTTATCAACATATGCTTTCAAGAGACGAATAACACGTAAATTAGGCTCCTGGTCAAAAGCTTCCAGTTCAATAGGCTTGTGATGTTTCCCTGGTCTAAAGTGCTTCTGGAGGCTGGTCAAATAAAAAATACATTTCTTGTCTGACATATCATATGCTTAACAGCTACGCAGTGGATGGTTTGTGTTCGCTGATCAGTTAACAGAGCCAGTAACCGAACAACTAAATGTAAGTTTCTTAAGCGAAATGTCCTCATCAGGAGGATAGGAATGTAGATGATTTAATACTTGACTGACATCCCAGATAGTTTCATAACGTGGTAATGAGGGCTTCTGTTCATAAACGCCCTTCAGAAATCGCTTTACTAAAGGGTGTGTACAAAGGTAGCAGAGCCACTAATGACAAGTATGGTTGAAATGGCCGATCTTACTGTGTAAACTCCACTATAACCAACACCTGACTTGACTAGTTCTGCAAGAAAGTTTATCCCTTGAGCTACAGTAGCTGAAATAGGACTGATCCCTTTGGAGTTGCAGTAATTTTCCCACTTGGAAATATAGTTCGGTACTGCTTTTTGGTCCCGTCTCTCCAGGCACACAAGATGATATCTGAAGCTGCTTGTGAAAGACCGCTTGCATATGTATTTTTTTTAATTTTATTAATTTATTGATTTATCACAGATTCCAACAATTAAGAGGCTCTTCTTCTGTAACAATACTAATCTAATCTAAGTATATATATATATATGTAGTAACTAATTAAAAGTATAATAACAGTAATAAAATTAACCAATGTAACTTATCGAGAGATATTAAAATATACAATACATATTATGTGGATTCAAGACCGATATTTAGCAAGCAAATTTTTCTTAGCACTACGGCTAAACACGTGTTTTAAAATGTTTCTTGTTGTTATCGGGAGTCTATTGAACAACGTTGCCGCCGAGTGCTGGAAAGTTCCGGATTCTCTAGGAGTAAAAAGTACGGGTGCTGTTGATGATCTTAGATCATAAGCAGTTACTTCATGGGGAGTCAGTTTCAGATACTCAGGAAAGCTATTATTGTCGTACAATGATTTATGAGCGAGTTTGAGAATATTGAATTCAACGTTTTCTTTAACTAGTAACCAGTTTAACTTAATAATATCCTCGATACCTGCAAATTTTCTTCTGACAAAGCCAGCACGTACATTCTGTAGACGTTGGAGACGCTCTTCTAGATAAACAGGCAAGGGATGAAATACCGTGCAAGCATAGTTCAGCTTTGAGAGAACTAGGCCTTCTGCGAGATGTTTTTCTAACGTGGAATGGCGCTAGATTTTTGAGCCTACGCAGAAAGGAGAGAGTCCCATATGACGAGCTTCGCAGAGAATCCACATGTGTGTTCCATGAGAGATGTTGATCTATGTGGACACCCAATAGCTTAGTACAAGAAATTCTCTTTAGCGCTGAGTCCCCGCAAACAATAGGAAGATCCCGTTCCTCTAAACTATGATAGCGTGACATCTGAGGTGTGGAGATGAGGAAAGACTTGAATTGGACGGTGTCGAATGCTTTGCTGTAATCTGCACAGACCATTAATGTCACCTCCCCTCTGCTAGACGCTCGTATCAGGGCATCTCGAATTCCTAATAGAACACTGGTAGTGGAATGTCCCTTGCGGAACCCCGAGATGGTTGGACCAAGAAGAGCTTCCTCGTTTATGTATTCAACAAGCTGGTGGAGCACTAAGCGTTCAAACACTTTAGAAAGCGTCGGCAGGATAGACACGGGGCGGTGATCTGCATCACATCGAGGTTTGCTAAGCTTGGGAATCGGAGAAATTCTTGCAATCTTAGCACTAGGAAAACTTGATGTCACAATGCATCTGTTAATTATGTGCGTTATAGGGCCAGAGGTATAATCCTTTGCCAGTTACACAAACTTCACCGGTATCTGATCCATGCCAGTCGACGTGTCAGAACGAAGTTTACTTATTTCTTGATCCACATCTTGTCTCGTTACACAACGTAATTTAAAAGAAGAGCGGAAAGGCAATGGCCTCTCTGAAAAGGAGTGTACAAGTTCTATTAGGTCTGATCTTTCCTCTGGCTTGGTGCCCAGTGTTCTTTCATTAGTTGGATAAAGAATTCTTTCAGTCTATCCGGATCTGATTGAAAACGTTTGAGGCTGGAATGGAGAATACGATGAATAACTCTCCAGACTTCCTTAGGTCGTTTTGAAGAGAGTGCGTTGGTTACGAACGACCGTTGGGACTTATTAATTGTTGATTTAACTTTGTTACGTACTTCTCTAAACGTATGCCAAGAATCATCAGTTTTCTTTTCATGAGCTTCACGTCCCAATTTATCACGCTCCGCCTGCAACTTGCGTATCTGATCGGAGTTCATCCATGGTGCAGGTGGGCGTGTGANTGCTATGTTTATTTCGCCCTTGAATCTCAATCCACAAATGCTCCATGACTGGCTGAATCTTCTCAATGTCCTTCCTACGTTTGTATTGGATAGAGTCGTTAATGTAAGCTCCCACGCCACCACCCCGGGAACCTTCGCGATTTCTAAAAAGAGCAGTGTAACCAGGCAGATTGACGTAATCCAAAAGGACGGGATGGTCCTTTAACCATGTTTCGTTCATTGTGATGATATCCATCGGAAGCTGTGAGACTAGAATTTGAAACTCATTAAAGGATGAGACCATACTCTGGCTGTTAAAATGCATTATGCTGAGGTGTTTAGAGTGTTCTTTCAGAGTCTCGGAGATCAAATCAGTGTTATTTTGTACTGCGTCATCCAATTCGTCCAACACATCAAAAGATGGACAATTATGGAACGGGAGAAGAGAAATCAAACATTTAGGACAAGTCCATGTAGTGCCAAAACATTTCACATTCAGTTCAGTGCACTTAATATGATGTTGTCCAAAACAAATATCGCAGGTTACGCTTTTTTGATTTTCGGCTGATATTTTTCTCACAGTTGTCACATTTGAGGGTTACGGGTGCTCTGTGCGTATTCCTAGTTATTCTTTGTTTACTTTCAGTACCTTGTTTCCCTGAACCGCATTTCGCTGGGCCGGGGTTTTGTGCGATATCACCGGACCGTAACAATATTTGAAAAGACGCTGTTGAGTTTTATAATATAACATTCTTCCTTTCGATCTTTTTGTCCTCCCGCGTTTTAGAAAATTCCATCGAGATGAGTGTAGAATATGTGTTGAGAACATGCTCACAAACCATGACCCTCAAGACAATTGCACATTGTTATTGTGATTGTTTCCTTTGTTCCCTTTGTTCAGTAGTAATGCCGTCTCCCAAGGAATAGTCGACAATGAGCTATCTAAAATCCGCTTTAAAGGCGAGAGCAAGCCAGTTTCCTAAAGAAAATCCTTTCCAAAGATCCAGCCATCAGTTAAAAACAGGGCAAGAGTACCATATAACCCCATAAATTAATTATGCATTCAGTCTTTGTTCAATTAAAACAATAGCGATAACAATAGAACTCCGCAGAGACTAGTAGTCTTTGTTTTCAAAATTTGGATTTTTTTTCTAAGTCTTTTTTTAAACAGGGTAAATCTGGCCCGTTTTGGCTTTGCCAAACGAAAAACTCAGGTAATTTTCCAGAGGTTTTTAATTTTGAAATATAACTGAATGTTTAGCTTCGCTTTGAAAGCGTAAAATTGGCCGGAAAGTAACGTTAAGTCTACGTTCAGGCTTTGAAGTTTGTCAATGCAAAGTTTAAATAAATGTTGTGTCTTACCTGTTCTTGTGGTTTTGGTCCATTCGTTCATTATCCTTTTGTGTCCTAGTGATGGAAATTGTTCGTGAAGGCCAGTGCATACAGCGATGCAAAGAAACCTTTGTATCTAGTCTTTCTGGACTTCATAAAGTTGGGCGATATGTTCGATAATGCTTCCAAAGGGATCGTTTCCGTAGTGCTGACGCCACATATATTCCTGTAGGTAGCCATCGAAAAGTCCTTTGGATGTTCCTGTTTGGGGAAAATCTCGCTTGATTCCCCACCATGTATTTTCGATGCCCTATGTGTGCGCACCGGTGAATTCCGGCGCATTGAGGCCATTCCATCGCAACCCGTTTTTTAAACATCGCCACTCGTACCCGTCTCGCGATAAAGCACGTCGCGTCCAGCTAAGTTCATTGCTGCACCCAGCTCGAGGACATTTTACCGACGTCGTAAGCAGGTTGTGATCCTTACACCACTGTATGCACCGGTCGTGATCCGATAATATTCGAGAAAGCCGAATAAAATTCAGTCTCTCCATCTCCGAGTTGTTGTTCTTCTTCCTTCTATCCTCTTCTTTCGTTGATGTTCTTAGAAAGAGGTATGAATAAATTTTGTTTTCTATGTGGTATTTGGCCAATCATAGAGAAGAAGAAATGCATTCTTTAGTGCAAAGGGGACCTTTGGTGCATTATATCAATGCACATATTGTTATGAAAATTTTTTTTACTGAAAGGTAAAAGAAAAAATAGCTTTTGGTTTGCGTAGCATAGTGGTAAGGCTATGGTTTGATAATGGTCTGATAATAACGCGTTGTCTGAGGAGCGATGGTTCAAGGCTCAGCAGAACTGCCAAGAAGGTAAAAAGTAAAGAAAAGAAAAAAAACGAGAAGTTATTGGGAACAAAGGGGAGAAGGGAGAAGATCGTGAGAAAGAAATGGAGACGAAAAAGCCGCTTTCAATCAAATTCTCTTTTATTGAGGCTGTAAGTACCTATTAGCAATGGATATATGCTGAGCCCATGGGAATAAGTCATTGTCTTAAAAAACAATGGGATACATTCATAATTAATGGAATTGATTGCATAATTAATGTAGGGGGTTATGTGGTACCCTTTCCCGAATTCGTCACGGAGGAATGACAGGAGCCGCGTAAGCCTTTCACGAATCCCCATTACATTCCAAGTACCTTCACCCTATCGCACTACCACCAAAGACCGCAACAGGACGCAGGTGACACAATTTTTGCTTTACAACACATCGCCTGGACTGGTCCCTTATTCCGTTATTCGATTTTGTGGCTGTTATCTCGGAAACGTTAGAGCAAAGACGTACTCCTAGTATTGGTGAAAAGGAAGGCGTGGCACACAGAAGGGCGTAATGTTGAGGCCGAAAACGGTTTCGCTTTTAAAGCGATTAAGAATCAAGGACGACTTAATCATTTCAAGAGCAGGGAAAGAATAGACTTCAAGCAGTCTCTCCTACTTTTAAAGTCCGTCGCGTGAGTCGAAAAAAGTCAGCGAAAAAAGGTTGATGTTAACGCACCGCGGGGAGCTCTTGGAGTAAGGCGCTCGAAAAGTGGTGCCTCATTCCAAGAGCTCCCCGCGACGCGCTAACAGGAAAGAAAGCAACTGTTTTTGTAGTACAATAAACACATTAGAGTCGCTTATGTTTTCTTTGTTTTTATCTTCTTCTGCATCTCTTTGCGACTCTATCGCCGACATTGTTAAAAAGTCACAAACTTTCTGCGTCCGTTCGAAGCAGTCTTCTTTCTAACGCAGGATCAAACTCAAACGACTTAGAGGGGCCCATCTTTCCTGCTTCATCTTGCCCGATTCATATTGATATTTATCGGACACTGACCGCGACATTTTCACTCAGCGTATTATATAGGGAGACAAAGATGATTGTAGTGTAATAGAAAAAATCCGAGCCCCAGATGGGACTTGAACCCACGACCCTCCGTGATCTAGTCGGATGCTCTAACCACTGAGCTACTGGAGACTCTATGGTGAGCAAGGGTCAATTTGTGGGCCTCGACAGGTGCTTAAAGATGATTGTGACTCAGAAAAAATTAGGTAAGACAAAGCCGAGCTATTCTTTTTCTCTCGCTATGAAGTGATTTCTGATGTGGATCGCGACGATTTGACTGCATACTGCGAGCCTTTCTCAGGCAATAAGGTCGACTGGTCACCAGAAATGGTCAACTGTGATTAGCTGGCATTCAAAGGCTTCGATTGCCGCACTGCGCTCAGCCGGCTCTTCTGTTTTTTTTTGTTGTGTTCACGGTTTGCTTGTTTTTTTTTTCCAGACGGTTAAAATGGTATTACCCTTCATTTATAACTCAGGGAGAAATCTGGCTACTAGTTTTTAGATAGTTTGCTCGCAATTTCTGATCGTCTAGATGATAGTCCTGAGACGGACTGTTGTTGGTAGGTGACTGACGTTTCGACGTCCTTAAAGTTGAGCAAATCTGGTCAGTGAGTTTTACAGCCAATAACATCACAGTTAAACTGCCTAATCATTTTACACGAAGTAGCCCTATAATACACTAATAACCACTTGATTCTGATGTTGACTTCTGCTACCCAAAAAAGTCGTTCTCAGGACTGCCCTCGACCGGATTCTAAGAAGAATTCGAGATTGTTTACTCTGTCACGCATATCTAATTAACAGGGTGTGGGTGAATTTATGTACTAACTATGGCGATTTTCGAGAAACGTTATAAGTAAACGACTATAGCATTACCAGTGGTTGTGTTCATCAAATTTCGTCTTTTCGAACTTCCTTCATCCATACCAGAGAAGCGTATGCGAAATGTGCTTTGAAGCCAAAACTAGAGAAATTAGAAAACATCAAAATTTATGGAAATCCTGCTCTCTTTCTCTTGTTGGCCGATCACTCATCGTCAACACCCTCGGAATTAGCAAGCTCCTATATCTCTCTACAGCTTTGTGTGTCCCAAAATGGGTAATTTCTAAGGTGAACGCTTTAATCCGGCCATTTGTCTGGGGTTGTCAAATTGAAACGGTTAGCCGAACGTCCTGCCATCAATCTCTTAGCAGTGGCGGTCTCGGTATTTTGAATTTCCTGATCAAAGGTAAATCTCTTAAATTAGCCTCAGTGATTTCCAATCTAGATGATCGCGAATCAAAATCCTTTTATTTGGCCAGATATTTTCTAGGTTCTAGGCTCGCCTCCTATCACTCGGAGTGGAGCTCTCTTGGAGATAACTCCACCCTGAGAATGTTCTCTCAGCGCTCACCACTCTACGTGGGATTCTCTCCCGCACGGAGTGGTGCGATTTTGAATTTTCTTCCAAGAAATGTTATCGAACTCTCTTGAAGGAAAACTCCACATCTCCAATTCTTCATCGCTTTTGGACTCCCTTCCTTTCGATTGACTTTAATCTTGACAAATTTTGGAGTTTAGCGCGAGATGACTTTTCTGAAAATTATAAGAACAACATACTCTGGAAAATTGTACTTCGCGCTATTAAGGTCGGCGATTCTCTAAAGAATTGGGGATATATCGACCCAGATAAGTGCGCCTTCTGTTCCCGTAAAGAAACTATAGATCACTGTTTTCTCAATTGCCCCCGTGTGAAATCTGTATGGACCCACTTCTCCCCTATTATCTCCTCTATACTTGGAACTAGATTTCTCCCATCCTGTACCTATGTTTTCTTTTTTCGTTGGAGCCCCACTAGTCCAAAACAGAATGGTACTGCCCGCTTTCTAATTAAGACAATTCTGTACAGCATCTGGAAATTTCGAAATAAATCTACATTCCACCAAGGGAATGACCCCCTGAGGATATAATTCGCTATGCCCTCAGCGAGACCAAAAACAGAATTGCGTGGGACTACTTCCGACTCTCGTTATCTAACTTTAGAAACGCTTGGGAGTCCTCATGAATCTGTACAACTGATGGGGACTCCTATAGAATACTTTTGTAAATAGATTACCTTAAGCTTTAGTTAACATTTGAGTAATTCAACTTGGAATTATTTAAAACTTACAATTACCATTAAACAATCCTAGAGTTACATTAATATTAGTCTACGTTAGCCCTAGCCATACCAATATTATAGATTAAGCTTATATTAATATTAGACCTAACTATTTTGGAATTATTTATAACCTTACATTAATATTAGTAATATTCAATACTCGTATATATTTAAGAACTCTTGAACTTTGGAACTTTGGACTGTTTATTAATAATTAGTTGGGGCCAAGCCCACGTGCGTTAGCACTTTTATTTTGTAACTTAGGTGGTTTGTTATGAATAAACCCTTTTCAAAACTTAAAATACGCCCCAAGGAAGGGTCCTTATACAGAACATTTA